TAAGCCTGATAAGATTTTGTTCCCCAGAGGGAAGTTTTACTCTAACATCTGGCTCCTAGCTGAATATAACATGCCTATGTTTCTGTAGTTGAAATGAGTACATTGCCATTTCCCACACTACGTTTGCTATATAGACAACTTTGAGTCATACCTGCATGCACAAAAATGGTGGTATATGAATCCTTTTTGTGATACCAAATCCTGGACTGTAAAAATGTAAGTATATAGTTCAAAACAGTAAGGCTGATGACAACTTTTCCCCTTTTTTCCTGTCTTTTAGGTCAGTTAAATGCCAGTTTCATGCTGAGCCTCATATACAATGTATTTAGTCTGATGCTAGTGTTCAAAATGAACAATTACTTAATAGAAAACAAGTTCATTTAAAAAACAAAACAAAATCAGGACTTCAAGCTTTGTTTTCAAAGCTCTGACACTTGGAACCAACTGCTCTCTTCTTGGATTCCCCTGTTTATTACATATCTATCACCTAGGCTACAAGAAGAGATTAGTGGAGTTGATGAGCAGCTAACCATGCTTGAAGTCTTAAGTCCCAAGTCAAAAGCAAATCAAATAGACGGACTTAAATTAATAAATCTAAATAAAGATGTACTGAGCTATCCAAAAGGATATTTTAGATTGTATGTGTGCTCTCTGGGTTAAGAAATGTTGATTTCAACTTGATTTTCTTATTTGTTTTCCATCTCTGTTTGAGAACCTTCATGGAACAGAGATTGTGCATCAGATCTCACTTGTGGACATTTTCATGAAATTTTGTGCTCTTTTATGTATTCATCTACTTTCTCCTGGCCATTATTATTTAGGGAGGCATAGTTTGCAATGCACAAAGCTGGACATTCTTGGTAGTGGCATCCACACTGTAGAACAGTTTTCTTCAAGAAGCATACTAGAGTCATACAGTTATATTCAACTGTGTCTGCTTGACCAGAGAAATTCATTATCCCTTCACAATGTATCCCTCTCCAAATCTGCTCTAGAGGTTTGGAATACCCCTCTAACAGTAGGGGGTGCTTGGGATAGAAAAGGAAGGTATTGTGGCAGGAGCAGAAATCTGCTTATTTTTATTTCATTTATTAAGGAATTCAGGGGGGTTTACATAATCCTCCTGCTCCTCTTAATCTTATCCTCACAACATCCCTGAGAGGTAGGTTCGCTTGAGAGTAAGCAACTGGCTTAAAGTCGCCCAGCAAACTTCATGGCAGAGTAGAGACTAGAATCTAGATTTCCTGGTTCACAGTCCTACATTCTAATCACTGTACTATACTTATCCTTGCTTGTATAACACTGGACCAGAACAATTTTTCTTCTACTAAGCAGTCTTCCTCAGTCCGGTACATTCCAGATATGTTGGTCTACAACACTTGCCAGTGCTGTCCATTGACTATCCTGATTGGGGCTTGTAGGAGTTGTAGTCCAAAGAATCTACGGGATACTGAGCTAGGAAAGACTGCCATAATAGATGACTTGCTCCAAAAAATAGATGGAAAGAGTGCAACCCTGTTGGTTCTTTTTGTTTTTAAAAGCAATATCTGTTTTTTTTTCTTTTTGAGTTTTTGGTTTTGGTTTGCTACTAGCATGTTTTAGCTGCTTGTGGTTTTATTGCTATGTCTCTGTTTACATTATATTTGCAAGTGAGTTTCTTTGCTTTTAATTGTTGTTTATGATATGTTACCTTGCACATCTGGTGAAAAGGTTACTGGGAAATCTAATGGATAAATACGTGTTGATAGTTTTTTCTGCACTTTTGACATCCTTATCCCTGGAGAACCGTACCAATGTGCTCTCTGTTTTCTGTAGGCCAATTTCCTTCTATAGCCACTTTAAAGAACACTCATGCCTGGGAACAAGTCTGTTGGCTGCTTTTCTTTTCTCTTTTCTGTCTTAGGTGGGTTAAATGCCAGCTTCATGCTGAGTCTCATGTACAACATATTTGTTCCTGTTTTCTATTCCTGCTGCCGTTTCATTGCAAATCGCTGCTGGCTAATGGTATCTGATGGGACTCCTTCCTATTGCCTGCAAAATGTTTCATTTTGCTACCTTCCTTTCTTGCTTGCTTTTCTTTCTTTTTGTCATCTTTTTTTTGAACTTGTAAACTCAGGTCCTAGGAGAAATCAGACAGTATGAAATATGAAAATTGCTTGGGAAGTAATTGGAGAAACAGTGAGACTTATGAAACCCATGGAGATAATGCTCGCACCTACTTATTCACAATATTTAATTTTTAATAGCAATTTTAATTAATGGAGCACTGGTCTTTGGGATTTTCAGAAGCAAGTAAGCAGCAGCAAGGCAGTGAAAAAAGGGTGCCATTAAAATCTGTGAACTCCACATTGTAGTTGACAGATTTGTGTCTGTGGGCACACGATGTGTGCATAAAGGAAAGGGAGAGAAGCCTCCAAACAAAAGTAAAATTGTAACAAATAAGGCAGTATGATCACTCAGCAGCTTGCTGCCAACATACATTTTAAGGTGAGGGCTCATCTGCAGTTTTTCAGTTCCTGAGATATTTTTTTTCTTTTTTTAGTCAAAACCTGTGAAAACAATTCCCTGCTGTGGCTTCTTTCTGTAATGCGTAAAAATACATCTAACAATAAAGCTTTCATATAGCAAGTTTGAGAAGATCGTCAAAGCATGCTTATATAAACCTGTTTATTTAAGAACCCTGGAAGAAAAATAGTAGGAAAACTTATCTAGGAATGGACAAATATGCAACCAGAATAAGTGACTTTTTTTGGGTTCAGGTTGTGTTTTCTTAAGCAGTGCAACTTTGGCAGGAAAGGTGCAAGAGAATAAAGGTATACACAGGAAGAAAACTATCTGAGGAGCTGTGGTGAGAAGGACTTGGAGGGAAAATAAAACTTTAAGTAAGCATGATATACTCTGGAAAGGACAGGAAATCCAGAAAAGGAATTTCATTATAGTTCTGTCTTATTCTAGTTTAGTCTTTCTCTGCTTTGAATGGATTATTTAGGTTTATGTTTATTTAGTCTGTCAGTGTTGAGCTGCAAGTTACATAGTACATGTTTCCATATTCAATTTATTTCTGCTATAGAAGGAATGATTAAGAATGGTTCTATACTATAGGTGACAGTTGTAATTTGGGCTAAGTTTCCTCAGTGTGAACATCTGGAGGTAACTAGCTTTAAGTCCAGTTCACAATGGCAGAACACGGAAGTACAAGCGGGGACCCAACCCCCCCAGGAATTCTCTTATACAGCATGGGTCCTCAAACTAAGTCCCGCGGTCTGGATCCAACCCGCCATGCCCATTTAACTGTCCCTCCCCACAGGTTTTGCACTTGCCAGGCAGGCGTGGGCACACAGCTTGCTCGCGAGGAGGTTGTTTTGGACTAGCTCGGAGAGAATTATCTCCTCCGAGCAAGCTGGCACCTTGCCCCATGTACCCCCCTGTCCCCGCCTCGCCTCACGTGCGAGCGCACCCCGCCCCCTCACTGGCCCGCACTCCCATGCCAGCACCACCTTGGCAGCCCGTGCCCACCATGGGAGCCTGTCAACTGGCCCCCTTTAGAAAAAGTTTGAGGACCCCTGTTATAGAGGGTAGGCCCCTTGTGGTACAGGCATCCCCTGCTAGGTGAATGTCCTAGGGACCCATCTACATCAATGTACCCAGCTGGGTTGTTATGACAGGCTGCATTTGGCTTCAGTGAGTTTCTTTTGGAGACACTTTCAATGCATTTGCCTATTTCGTGGTGGCTGATTTACATGAACAACGTGCAGCGGTAAAATTTTGTTCAGCTGAGTGTTTAGCAGTTTGTGACCAAAAACAGCATGACCCTTGTGCCCCACCCTCCCTACTCACCCGATCTTGCCCTGTGCAACTTTTTTTATTTTCCTGGATGAAAACAGTCCTCAAATGTTTTGCCAGTGTGGAAGAGGTGAAACAAAAAACAGCCGAAACACTAAAAGGCATCAAAATTGATGAGTTCAAAACCTGTTTTGAGCAGTGGAAAAAACATCTCAATAGGTGTATTACATCAAACAGAGAGTACTTTGAAGGTGACTGAAGTTTGAACATGTATAAACAAATACATTTTTTTTATAAATAAATTCCTCCCCTCCCCATATAAAGCAGTGGAAGCAATATGCAAACTACATATTCATCATCAGGAAACAGACCTTCCTCCTGCTCATCTGTTGTCATTTTGTGGGTTATTAATGAGGAATATCTCATGTCAGTTGTTTTCTCTGTCCAACTATATGAGGTTCAAAAAGAGTTGCTTTCTTCTAATTAGGGCATGATTTCTTACCTGGCTTCACTCTACAAACTGAGATTTCCATACCTATAAAGTTGTAGTTAAGTTCAGATGGAGATTAATGAAAACAAATACAGTATACTGTCAGGAGATTGTTTTAAAAAAATCTCTTTGTTTTATTATATTACTTGATTCCCCCCCTCCATTGTACCTTTTATGTTTTGGTTTGGTTATGACTGAATATGGTGTGCCCACCAGACCCATGGCTCTCTCCATTATGAAGAAGGCACAGGGAACTGCTGGGAAGGAGGAACACTTTCCTTCTCACACACATCTCAGTTCTGGAGGGTGTTTGCTTTGGTCTGAAGTGGAGTGATAATTTGCTTAGTATAATAGAGAGACTCCATGGGATTATATATCAAATTACAGGCACCCTGATTGGTTGCTAATGATGAGGAGTAGTTTGGGAATCCTTTATTTTCATAATTCTTTCTTATGGTCCCATCTTTGATATCTTCCCCAACCAGGTGCCCTCTAAATGTCTTGAATTGCAACACCCATCAGCCAGAGTTGGTATAGCTAACAGTTTGGGATGATGGGAGGACACTGGACTGGGGAAAACTGCCAATATATAGTGAATGGCTATTGTTCCATTTCCCTTCACAAGTTGGAGAACTGTCATAATGGACTGTACAGTTTTAGAAATCAATATTGTAATGTTGAATGAGAGTTTTTAATTTAATTTAATTTAATTTAATTTAATTTTCAGAATACTGAAATCTACAAGATGACTTTGGATCAGTACAATGAGGCAGTCACCAATGCAGAAGATAAGATCAGGTAAGAAATCGGTTTTTATCTTTGCTGTTATCCTGCACATTTAATACCTAGGACGTGAGTTTGGTGTCCCCAATGTAGCTAAATGTAGTTCTCTTGAGAGGTATGAAGTTTTCTCTTATCTTTCTGTCAAAGTTTGATGTATGTCTAGGAGGAACTACAAAGTAGAGGACCAACTTGCCCAATTCTCATCGGTGCTAACAGAAAGAGCATTTCATTATTAATTTCATTTTACATAGTTTGGAGATTGTTAGCTTTATTGTGAGTTATACACGCACATGTGCATGTGTATGTGTGAGATTTTTGTAAGCTGCTTTGAGTTTTAATTTATCCTGGAAAAGTGAGGTATGCAGTGGTACCTTGGCTCACAAATGCCTCAGTTCATGACCAAATCGGGTCGCGAACAGAAATTTCAGAAAAATTTTGTGTCAGGTCGTAAACTCTGCATCGGATGACGATTGCTATCACGCCTGTCTTCCCTGCACTAGCACAATTGCAGTTGTGCTGTGGGGGGAGATGGCTGCGATCTTTGTTGTTGTCACTTTGCTTCAAATTTTTGTGATTAAAATTTGGTGATTAAAATAGCTACAGAACGGATTAGCCTTATTTACATTGAACCTTATGGGGAAATTTGACTTGGTTCTCAACCAATTTGGGTCATGACCAGAGTCCTGGAACGGATTAAGTTTGTGAGCCAAGGTACCACTGTAAATGTCTAAATAATCTTGCTATTTCCTGTTGCTTGGGATTATACCAGAATGACTGTGGATCCTGAATATAACATCTCAGGTGAAATATCTCAGATTCACCTTGTTTTCTACTACCCAGTTGTGGCCAAAGTAGACACAAAAAACAAAACAAAATCCAACAAAGGCATCTAAGAAAAGTAGGCCAGAATAAGCAACATCTCTCTGTTCTTTCTAAAACTAGTGGGCAGCATGCAGTCCCCACCACCCCTTCTGCCTTCACAAAACAAAACAAAACAAAACAAAACAAAACAATGACATCTAGCATGGCCATTTTAAAGTTTTTGTGGCCCTTTGAGTATTTTGTAGGCACTGAATAGCATCAAAAGGCTTATGGTAGCTTGAAGAAGATCTCGTTTTGACCCTTTTGGTGCATCATAACTGCTCTAGACACCACTAAAAAAAATTCAGTGCCTGTCAGGGAGGGTCCGCAGCTGAAAATGTCACAAAGTTGTCTGCCTGATTCTAAAATCTTCTACTTTGTTCCTGTTTGTCTTAAAAACAAGAAGATTCCATCTCTGCATTCCTGAGACCACTGCCTTAAGAACAAATGTCAGACTGTTCAGGCTGGCAGTCCATCTTGGTCTAAGCATTTTGTTTCTTATACTGCCTAATTAGATGCATTCCTAACTTTTGCCCAGCTTTTCCTTTGCCTTGCCTCAGTTTTTCTTTTTATTCCACCCTTTCGACTTTTACAAGAACCACATCACCAGACCAGAATATAGATATTTTTGTAGCTGTGCTTTGGGGCAATGTATGCTGTTGCACCCAGGATTGGTTTCAGTGTTGTTCTCTTGTTGTTAAGGGGGTTTTTTTTAGAACCCCTGATAAAGGGCTTTTCAACATAGCCCTTCATCTAAGATAAAGTAGGTAAGCATGATCTGAGCTTCTAAAAGGTCTAAATCATTGTAATCTAAGTCTTAGAGTTAAAAAAAAAGAAGAATAGATAGGACACCTTAAGTTGAAAAGCTAGATTAAAGTGTTCCCTGAAATTTCCAAGACTTTTCATAACGGTCGCCTCATATCTGTGGATCATATGCACTTAAACCTGTAATCTATAATGCTTGCAGCAAATACACATTTTAACATGTTCAGGATGCAACGGTGCATTGCAGGAAGGTCCAGATTGGTTGAGGAAAGCTATGCACAGTGTACTTTTATTTGAAGACTTGGATAATTGGTCCATACTGTATGCACTGGCCCTCAGAGTGATAATATCAAGGAGACAATTAAGGGCTTGCACATTTGTAGTGCAACAGGCAAATAAGTGATGAATTAGACATTAGGTGCTAATTAATAGACTATGAGCTGCAGTTCTTAAAGTACTATTTTAAATTCGACAACAACATGCTTTTGATATTTTGTGCCTTCATTTTGTCACTTTTTAATACATGCTTCATATTCAAAATATATTTATACAGTAGTGATAGTACCTAGCATATTCTTTCCAATATTTTAATAAGAAAACAAATCCTCTACTTGAAGATTCTTTATTGCTGGCAATGCTATGAAATTATACTGTTAATATCGTAACAAATTACACTACATTTAGTAAGCATTTGAGTATAGTGGAATATATTATGGTAGTGATGACAAGATGATGACCTGTTTAAGGTCATTCTAGATTATGCAGTGTTAACCGAGTTCTGCCTGCTACAGAGATTCAAGAAGGAGCTTTGGCTGGATGTGGAACCTCTGTGGACCTCATCCTTTGCCCTGAAATGGGTTAACAAAATTATTCAGGATCCCACCTAAATAGGGCAAGAAACCATAGACTGATCATAGTTCAGGATTATTTTGATATTTGCTCTCAGACAAGACTTTGGTCCTGGCTTGGGGACTGGCAAAACATTCAACCCTATTTGTCCCTAAAAAGTTCATATTTCCAAAAGCTAAGGTTTAACATACAGTAAGTGTTGCATAGAATGGATTGTGATCTAGTCATTTACAGCAGCACTGGGAAAACAAAACTGTGTTCAGTTACATCCTTCACATAAATTGTCTGATACAGGTGAGTAAAGGTATAGAGCAATCTAAGAAGGCTTCCATTCAAAAAGTCTAGGGGATTATGCTTAGGGAAGTGTCTCCCTGGCCATATGAGTTGGGAGGGCCTTGATATTTTCCTCCCAAGAACAATCCTGCTCAGGGTAGAGAATAATTGGCATTAAGGGCAATCACCCTGCTTCATGCATAGATGGAGCTCCTGCTGAGAACATCACTTTTTCATCTACTAGATGTTGCAATCTGGTGCCTCCCATTGTGTCTGGATACAGTTCCAGCTGAGAACCCCCTTCTTCTACCAAGCACCTGCCACTGTTGATAACAACAAAGAAGCACCAGCAGCTCTTCTATTATGCATAGATCCAATGCCAGGACTACTGAATTACTGCATGCTGAACTTTGAAACTAAAAATATAGTTCCTGAGTTTGTTTCCTGTTCCTTCTCTATCCATTTATGTTATCTTTTTGACCTGTAATCCTGAAGGCAAGGATTGTAGCCATGAAATCTATATGTTCCTATCAAAAACCCTATTTTAAAAGAAAGCCTTACTTTTTACAGTTGCCAAAAATGCTCCTGAAATGGAATGGGCCACAGTTTCCAGGACACCTGGAATTGAGAAAGGGTAGAAAAGGTTGAGTATCCTGAGAACTTTCAGGTTCATGCTAGAAATCTGGAGCATTTCACTATCAAGCGAATGATGTACTCCCCCTCCTCTTTCACAAGCTGAAATCTTCTTGTGGCTTAACTTTCACTCATCAATGTTCCTTTGCTAACTCATCATCATATTCCTCAGAGAGGAGGCGTGCTCACCTTCAGGGAGCTCCTCCCAAGGGGATGGGACCCATGCATGTTCATAAGGAGACTTCCTGGAGTTAAACACTAGATTGAATTCAACAAACTGTTCTGTGCATGCTCAGATATCTGTTCTGGGTGATTTGTACTTGGGAGCAATAAAATAAGTTTGCAAGGACAGCAGTCTGTGGCCAGTGATTGTTTGAAGGAGGAACCTCAGCTGACTACACTTGGGTGGCATCTTGGGAACACCTCTTTGGCAAGTCAGAGCAAGAAAGGGGGGGGGGCAGTGCTGCCACCTAGCCACCTCTTGTCCTTATCACTGACTGACTCGTGCAGCTGGGCGGTGGTAATGAGGGGGAGGTAGCACTGGTGTCCCCCTCCCCTTTTTGTTTTGGTTTGCCAAAGAGGCATTCCCTTGCTGGCATCAGGTTGGGAATGCCTCTTTAGCAAGCCAGGGTGAGGGGGCGCAGCACAAGAGGATGGGCTGAGGTGCCCAAGTTCCAACTGGGCAAAACTGCCACCCAGCTTCTTTTTGCCCCGCTGCTCATGCAGGAGAGAAGCTTCGCTCAGATGCTCATGGAGGGCAGTGCAGCATCTTTCTACAGCACCACCCAGCTGATTCTCCTCTCCTCTGCCTGAGCATGGAGTGGGCACCCGCCCCACCTTGTGCCCAAACAGTCCCCTCTTGAGCAGGAGGGAAGGGTGCCCGATTATCTCCCTCAACAGAAGCCCCATTTTTGCAGCAGAGACTCTTTGACAGCTCTGGTGAGCTCAACTCAGCTTAGGGTTGAGATGAATCTTTCAGAATATATCCCTCTAGCATCTGTTGACTTGCTCTCATGCTTGGCCTGGTTCTGCAAAGCAAGGAGCCAAGGGCACACAAACTCTGGGCATGCTTACTAGGAACTTAGACTGCAGCTACAGCTGCTACACAGCTGACTGGAGTCTGGGGAGCCGAGCTCAGAGAATCAGATGGATTCCCACTCCTACTCATAAAAGACTTCCTTGCCCATCTCAAACTCAGCCCAAACTGTGGCTGTCATTCCCCCTTGGAGTGCCTCTTTGGATATTGCCTGGAGGACTGAGAGGGAAGAAAACAGCAGGTGGCAGGGGAAAGTCACTGCGATGAGTCCGATCGGTCAGGCACATCCATGCAAATAAAATGCAGAATGGAAACCACTTGGGATTGTTTGTTGAGTTATGTGAAACTGACCTAGGAGTTGGTTGCTTAGCCATCTTGTCTTGGTATTTGGAATTCAACATGGAACCTGAGATCAGTGACCAGCATGTATCATAACTAGAGACTAGCAGGTCCTTCTCACTGTCCTGGGCCAACAGATGGACAGCTTCTTTATTGTTAGTTACATCATTATGTAATCTCATTGTGATTAACTTACCAATGTATTACTTTTGGATTTTCTTGGACAATTGGGCAATAAATAGCGTGTACATGCTACTGT